TTTTAAAGATTTACTGATTAGCTTATAAATTACAGAACTGGTAAGTGTTGTGGACTTCTAGGCTAATTACATGTTTGCAACTGCAATTAATGCTTCTACTTTAGTGAACTGTAAGTGCCTATACCTAGAGAGAAGATAGTTTCATGTAATTTTTTTCTATCATTAAAAAAGACATGCATAAATTACATTTCCAAACAGCCGATATTACTAGTTGAGTACCTCAAGAAAGCCCTTAATAAATTATCTAGTCCGGCTGTGTAATGCCGTAAATGATATGTATATTTTTCCCAAAACAACGATTGCCAAGATATTAATAGTTTCTTAAACCTTCTTGTGAGAGTTATTTTGTTCTTACAATTGTTAGAGCCCACTATACAGGTGAACACACTGAGTCTTAGAGAATAGGCAGAAAATTGGAAAAAAGTGAATATCTAAGATAGTGATCTAGCTAGGACCCATCTGAAACCTGTTCTTTTGTACTGTGTTATTGTTTGTTTTGTTCTGAATCATGTTACTTTGTGGGTATAAATGCTGCATGTACGAAACAGTACAGGAAGGAGCCTTTCTTTATCTGACCTACAGCAATGTCTTAGTGCCGTATGCCTCAGCCCAAGGTAGAATCTGCAGCCTACAGAGATTTTCGTCAGCTCGAATTGCTTTCAAAGAAGAACTTGGCCTTATCTTTCCTAAAGATTCATTGCAAATCTGTCTGAAGGGAAACCTTTTTTTTCCAAAGAAACTGTGACCCAAGGTCTTTCGTCACTGTTGCCCCTGGAAAAATTCTGGTTGAACTGCCTATTTTAGATTTCCTTCTACTGAGTTTGCCTATTCTACTTCATATTTGAAAGCATGTTTTCAGCTGCTTTTCCTGATGTGCTACTATGTGTTTGTTTCTCCTTTAAAAATCTACCTTTGTAATCTGAACTAACCTCATCCTCATGCAAAGTGCCTGAGCAAATGACTGTTTTTGTCTGATTGGGATTTCAGGTTCAGTGAGATACTGAGAGAATTCTGGCTGAAATGTGACTGACACAGGAGACTTTGCAGTTATTTATTAGAAGACAGCCTGGGAGGCAAAGAGAAAATGGGTTGTTGTGATCCTCTCTTGCTAAATCCTGCCCACTGCTGTTATCTTTTCTTTACTGTTTCCCCAGAAAGGCATCATTGCAATGCACTAAGCTTTTAAGCAGCCATTCAGTGGGAACTGGGCTAGAACTCTGCTAAGGGGTCACATTCACCAGCCTGACAGTTCTACATTTACAAAAGGAACGGTATGAATTTATTCAGCATCAAGCCCTCTGCATCTCTTACCACCCAGACACATTTCACACTGTATTACCGTCACTGCACTAGGACAGCAGCGTAAAGCCCAGCCAGGCTCTTCATTTAATTAACCAGCGTTCTTTGAACAAAAATAAAAGTGCTGTTTTTATAGAGGAATAAAAGCTGCACAAAGTGAGTGTGAAGAGGGCAAATCATCAAATTAGTGAGTCTCACTGCAGCTTCACTGATTTTCTGCCCTTCCTCTCTCTCACTCTGAGGCTTTTTTTTTTTTTTTTTGATTAAATGGAAAATGGGGAGCAGTGCACTGGCCTCCAATGTGCTGGAGAGTCTGTTGTTATCACCACATCCTAAGCTAGCTCAGGGCTGATGCTGGTGATGACTGGTACCCAAAAAGGATGTTTTATAACATTTTCTATAGTTGACCAAATGGTATGAGCTAGTAGTCAAGAACATAAACTCTGTTAACTGAGGTTCAGAACTCATTTGAACTACCTGAGTTCAAACCCCAGTTCTGCCACTTACAAATGGTTTTGTTTCTTAGACTTCCTGATCTTTGGTTACCTGTCTTTGAAATGAGGATCACTGTAGACTTACCTCGCACTGCAGTATGCAGTTAGCTCATTTGACAGCCTTAGAACAAGGCTGGATTTGTTAGTCCCAAAGATGGGAGGGAAAAGAGCACCTCCTCAAATCATTATGGCCAAATTAACTAAAGCAAGCCTTTTTATTTGTGTACACATGACTGCTTCCCCGTAAGGTGAGGTCTGAGAGGTCCACAGTGGATATGAGGAAAACAAGGAATGTATAGCTCAAGGGCAGGGTGTTTCCAAATGGGGGATTTTGCAGCAAAGTAGATGAGGTTACGACCTTCTGAAACAAAGATGTGGCTGCATGGTGGGCATGACAACAGTAGTCATAACTAGGCAGCCCTAACAACCCTTCTGAAACAAAGGTACACTTGCAAGATGCTTATTAACTTTTTGAAAGACATGATTGCCATTCCTGGAACACACAGTACAGAACCATGTTTAATGAAGGTTACAGGTGGGGCATAGCCTAATTCTTGAGAAAGATTTAATCATAAACAGGAACGAACCTAGTAGGTCTTTACTATAAGATGGCTTTTAAGCCTAAGATGGAGGCAGGCTGGTTCTTCAGTAGGTTAGCTGTTACCTATTGTGTGCTCAACAGCAGTCTGGTGTGAAGTTGACCCAGGTGTGGCATTAGTAGGTTTCCTGGTCACCTGGGCTAGACTGACAGGTACTGTACATTAGGTAGATCCTTCTTTGGCTCCATATGCTTGTTTCTAAAGGCACCCTTACAGGATAAAACAAGTGTTTTCAGATAGCGGGAATCAAATTCTTCGAGCAACAGGTATAGATGGCAGCTGGCTCCTCAAACCACTCCATTTTTGCACCTAGCTGCCACATTTACCTTTTTAAATTAATTTTATTTATTCATTTATATTTTTTCACTATGCTGAGTATCTAATAAAGGGCTTTCTGCACACCAACCCCAGGCCTCAGGTTTCCCTTTCTAAAGAACTCTCTCAGAAGTCTTCCAGTGTTCTGGATTCAAGAGCCTTTCTCATGATTCCATTTCTTCCAGAACCTGGACCTTTCTCTTTCTCTCCCCACCCTCTTCTAAGACAAGCAACCAACCAAGAAACTGTTCCGCAATAGGATCCCTCTACCCCAAGCAAAATCCACCTGCCATCCTATCTCCTGTGCTGAGCTCTTTCTAGCTTATTTGTTCATGTTGGTTTTTGTTTTTTCTGGGGAGTAAGGGGGGGAGGTTGGTTATTTTAACTAACATTCCTTTCTCCATTTATCTACATCACACCTATGCTCTAAACTGAGACAGAATAGATTAAGTATTATTTACCGACTTGATTTACACTTACATCATATTCTATGGATATCTGTATAAACCAGATGCTAACTTCGTGTTGTTGATCAGCTAGCCAGTTGTTCTACTTAAAAGTTATTCTGGAACTCTAACTGCTTCATCTACTGTCTCTTCTACAACCACCCTGGCCAACCACAGTTAGCGTTCCCCATTCTCCTCCTCCTCTTTCTGCTCCAACCTGTGTCCTTCCACAAAGTCTATTCTTTACTGGGTAGTGAAATGCACACTCTGAAAACTTAAGTGAGTTTACATCACTTCCCTGCTCAGAGCCCGTCAATCACTTTGAGGGAAGCCAGGCTCTTTCAAATGGCCTGTGGCTGTTCATAAGGTCTGCCTTTCCAAACCACCCTGTCTCCACACTCATTCATGTTACCCTCATTACCCTGGTATCCTACTGCTACCCTGTCTTACCTATACTGCTCACTGTTTCTGCTTCACTGACTGCCTTGATGTTACAAAGCCCAGTCCAGTACCAGGACCTTTGCACATGAGCCTTTTTGCCCAGAAAGCCTCTCTTCAGGAGCTCATGGCATGGTCCCCTCTGTGGGTCTCTAGTACATCTCTTCTCAATGAGATCATAACTGATAAGCCTAAGCTACTGTCTGTCTCTCTGAACTAGAATGTAGAGTTTGAACACTGAGAGTTTTCTGTGTATAGTGTTCATGTAGATTCCAGAAAATGACATATAATAAAGTTACTAGATGCTGAATGAAAGCAGACTCTTGAGAATATGCCCACACCCTTCCTTCTCTCAGTCCGTCATGCTCCAACAAAAGCAAATGCTCCATAACAGCTTCAGGAACATTAAAATAGCCATAGTTTAATATTAGCCATGGCAATTGGAGCAGAAAGTTCCATTACAGAGAAAAGAGATCCTGCACCCTCTAAAGAAATGCTTCATGCTGTAACAGCTGCCATGTTAAATTATATGGTGTCCCAAGAGACTGTGACCCAGCACCAAGACACATTCTGAGAAAGCAAATGGCTTTTGCCACCCTAACCTTACAAAGCTGGAGGTATAGCTAATTATGTCATCCAGAAACAGTAAAGCAATGAAAGGAGATTCTTAGTATTGGAGTCAAACAGACCTGAAGCCAGATGTGGGCTACTACCTGCCCTTCATCAGCTTGTCTATTTTCTGAGTCTCTGATTGCTTATATAAAATTGTTTTTTTAAAAATGCCTTTCTCCAGATGCCATTCCAAACCTTGAATGAGCAAAGACAGATGAAGCATATAATGTGTATTTAGTACTTGTCTCTTGGACATTGTATCCAACAGATAAACAATTATATATGATGCTACTACCAAAGCAAGAAGCAATAGTCTGATGTCTAGGAAGAAAGCTTTGCCTCTGGCCTTGCTCCACCAGGAAGCCCTACAGCAGCTCTCAGCAGCATCTGATGGCGTTGTTTGGCCTTCTGAGAACGTCAGCCCCACTACCTATGAGTTTTTTTCTGTAGCTCCTTTTGTCTTTAGAATCAGTTCCTATTTTTCTAGTTTTGATTGTCACTTGTCTTTAAACTTTCTTCATTTTTACAGCAATGATGCTAGGTGTGTAGTACTAAACACTCATACAGAATCTTGTTACAGAAGAAAAAATCTCTATGCAGAAAAAAATTTCAGGAAAGGAGCAAAAGGGTTCCCTCAATGAAGTAGCATGCTTATTAGTTTTTAGATGAATGGTAGAGAAAGTAGATATGTTAAGCATTGGAACAATAACTACCAAAATGAGAAAAATATTTCTGTTCACCCGAGAAGTATGTTTTGCATTTTCTTCACTTTGCATTAACTTTCATTAACTCCTTAGGAAGCCAAAGCTGTAGCTGAGGAAACCCGAGCTCTTCGAAGCCGGATTCATCTTGCTGAAGCTGCACAGAGGCAGGCACACGGGATGGAGATGGATTATGAAGAGGTGATCCGTCTGCTAGAGGCTGAGGTCTCAGAACTGAAGGCTCAGCTCGCTGATTATTCTGACCAAAATAAAGTAAGCAAACAGCCCTCTCTAGTTACCATGGTTTCCTAGCCGCTGTCATGTATCCTGTTTTCATTTTCTTTTCATCTGCACGTCCTAACTAGGTCAGTGTTTGTCTTCTATTATTCAATGATAGAATGTTGTGTCGTGAAGAGGGTGGCATTGAAGTTGTGAGCCTGTCTTTATCCAAAGAGTTCTGAGATGGAAAAGCACAGGCCCCAAATTAATTGGGTCATTGGTCAACATTGTTCCATTCAGCCATTTAGGCCTGGAACTACTTAACATTTAATTGACGGCACGGGTTTTCTCTTTCTGGTTTTGAGCTTGCTAATTTGTTTTGTGGCGATGGAAGGAGGAGATTCGAGGGATGAGTTTTGCTCTTTGAGTAGAGAACTTGGGGCAGTACATAAGTTAATGAATTTTTGCACAAGACTTATGATAACTAATGAGAAATCCAGTTTGAATTTGTTGTTTTTTTTAATGTAAAGAATACTAAATGGGCTCCTCTAGAAGGGCTCTCAGTTACAATACAAGATACTGAGCACCTTCAGGAAGCAAGCCGAACATCTCTATGTGTCAGTTATCCACAGCATACCTACCATCTTTAGACATGACTAGCCTTCAGAACCTGTAATGGGCGTGTGTGTGTGTGTGTGTGTGTGTGTGTGTCTGTCTGTCTGTCTGTCTGTCTGTCTGTGTCTCTGTGTGTGTCTCTGTGTGTGTCTGTGTGTGTTTGTATTTGTCTCTGTTTGCCTCTGTGTGTGTCTATGTATTGTATATTATATAACTGAAGGTATAAACTAGAGTAAATTGAAGCAGATAATTTATAGCTTTATAGAAATTACTCAATTATAAGTAATAGGTATTTATATCTCTAACCCATTCTGCCTTCAAGAGAATAAAAAACAAATTTGAGCTATGAATATTTCAGCATTAAGGCTTATGTTCTTTAACATATCAAATGAAAATGGAGCTAGTTTTAAAACAGCACAACAGAAAATATGAGCTTTTCTTTGCTTAGCTTTGAAAAATCTTCATTATTTCCTACATAATCATTTAAACCAGTTCTGCAGAAGGCCGGCACCTTACTCATCATTGATGAGACCATGCAAGGAGCACATAGCACTTGTGAAAGCAGCAGCACTTGGGAATGCTAGTAACAGACGTTTGTTTATCTGTATATATTATATAACAGGCATGGTTATGCCATGTAACATTAACCTAATTATGAAAATATTTTAGAAATTACCAAAATATTAAAAACCTTTTAATAAAATAATTAGTTACTTTTAGAGCAAAAATTTCTAGTGTTTAGTAGTTTTAATTTTGTTGTTGTTGTGGTGGTGGTGGTGGTTTTTATGGTATTGGGTATTAAAGAAGGACCTTATACATATTAGGCTAGTATTATTAGGCTCTGCTATTGAACTACTCCCTAATACTGTACTTTTAAGTAATAGACTTTTAAGAGATTTGCACAGAGTTATCAAGTATCTTGTTTTCTTAGTTTTTAAATATTTTAAAATGTCTGTGTGTGTGATGGGGTCTTTGGAGGCAGGAGGGCAAGTCGCCCACTGTGTATGTGGAGGTTAGAGAATAATATTTTCTCGTAATTTCTCTTCACTAGCCTTTACATGGGTTCCTGGGGACAAATTGAGATCCCCAGGCATCTGCAGAAAGCACCATTACCCACTGAGGCAGCTCTGCAGCCCCATGTGGCATCCTGTGTGTAACGTTTAGGTTCTTGCATTCTTGCACTCTTCTCCAGTGAGACATATTTTGGTCCTAAGTTGTCTGGTAATATAATTAATTTGGATTCTCCTTCTTTGTAGCCTGATGGGGAGCTCATTCAGTCCTTTTAATAAGAACCCACACTACCTCTCTAAAATCATTTTTTTTCATTTTCTTGAAAGAAGTGATATTAAACATAAGCATCTCAATGGTCAGTATTTTCTAATTTTAATACCAATAGAAAAGAAGTAACTTTTTAAATGGTGTGTGAGATTGCTTAAGGATCTATTGACCTAGATACTACAAAGTAAACTTTCAAATGTTTAATTTTATTTATTTAATGTGTGGAAGGTTTCATGTTGTCTATCGTGTAAGTATAGGTACATGTGTGTGTGCTTTGCATGTGGAGGCCAGAAGAAAATCTCAGGTGTCATTCCTAGAGGGCAATCCATCTTTTGAGGATAGGATGTTGAGAATGGGACCTACAGCCATAGAGATCCTCCCTTCCCCTCTTCAGGGATGCTTTGCCAGAAGTGTGCACTCCACCTGGCTTTTCACATGAGTGTTGGGGATGGAACATAGGTCATCAAGTGCACACCAAGCTCTTTACCAACTGAGCTATCTCTAGAGTACCTAAATATTTATTGTTTAGACATAGATTTTTTTCTGTAATAGTGCTTTTATTTATTATTATAATTTTCCCTAAAATTATCAACATATTTTCTAATTTGTATTTTGGATTTTGAGAAAAATGCAACTGAAACACAAGAAATCAAACATTATTGGGGCTAGAGACATAACTCAGCAGTTAGGAGTACTTACTGCTCTCTCAGAAGACCCAAACTCTGCCTACCATCCAGGTTAAGTAGGTCACAACCTGTAACTCCAGCTGTAGGGGACCTGATGCCTTTTTCTGACCTTCATGGACAACCACAGCCACATGTACACCACACAAAGGTATGCTTACATACCAGTAAATAAAAATATTTCTAAACTTTACATTGTGAGCTTATGAATTTCAAGAGTGCTGCTCTGCTGAGTGTTGATGTGGTAGATACTGCTGATAAAATTACTCATGGCCTGAGGTCAGTATTTCTATTTTGGTCACCCTTCAAGAATGACATATATTGCTTGTTCATGCTAGCCCTTTTTGTCCTGGGAATACTTTTATTCCTGCCCATTGTGTTAAAGCTTGTCTTTGACAACATCAACATGTTGGCAGCTTGAACCTGAAAATGGATCCCCAGACAGAGTTATTAAATTAACAGGCTGGCAAGCCAAGAATGAGTAAGATTCTGGACAGAGCCTTACCAACCTAAGACATAAATGCATTGCTTTGGATAATACATATTCCATGATGGGTAAGGAAGGCATTCTTGTCAGAATGACCTAAGACAAGCTCAGTCTTGTTAATGAAATAAAAAAGGGGGAGAGGCAGAGAGCCTTTGGGGCTGCTTGGCAAGAATGTGACATGGGCCAAGGACAAGGAAATAGGCTGCTTAGCAGAAATATGACATTGGCCAAAAACAAAGAAGTAGGCTTCAGGTAGGAATCTCAATCTTAGGCCAGAACAAAGAAGTAATTTCAGGCAGGAGTCTAAATTTTAGGCTAGAACAAGGAAGTAGGCTTCAAACATGAAAATGACTTTGGGCTAGGACAGACAGTGAATTTGGCTCAGATATTTTGATCATCCTGATAAGCCCTTAGAAACAGTGATTATGGGAATGTTCATGGAATTTTGTTCATTGCCTTGCTTGTTCTTTGACTATTTGTGTTTATTGTCTTACTTGTTCCTTGACTATTAGTATCTAGAGCTTACTTGAATATTTACATGTAATTCAAATGGTATAAAAGCAAAAAGAAGGAGGGGGGATCGGATATGGGGTTCTAGGGAGGGGAAATGGGAAGGGGAAGACATCTGAAATGTAAATAGATAAAATATCCAATAAAAAAAACAGAATAAAATAAAGCATTACTAATACCTATGAAGAGTCCAATGTCCTTCTCCACATTGTATTCACTGCCCTTGCCCTCAGAGGTTACTACTTTCTTAGATTTAATGTTTACCATTTTTTTTGATAGTTTTACTATTTTTTTCCTTTTTTATTATTTTATTTTTTAAAATCAAATCGTAATTTTTACTTATTCACACAGGGGTTATAAACACAAAAAAGGCAGGACATGGGGAAGGGGATGACACTGGAGCGTGAATGTTCAGGGAGAGTACAGATATCTTTCAGAACAGGGTATCGGCTGGGTGAAGGTTCAGGGGACAGGTCACTATGACTCTGCCTATGATTCACTTGTTCTTATCTAAGTTGGTACTATCCACCAAGGCTACCTATTTACAAGGTCTATGACTACTCAGACTGGTAAATTTCCACAAAGCTGCCTGCTTACAATAGCTTATAGCCATCTGTTTCAATGTTTTTCCACAGAGACCCAAGACTTGGTGTTAGTATACATGTATGACAGGCCTATTGCTGATTTTAGGCCTATGGCTGATTTTAGGCCTTCAGTGTATAAGCAGGGCTGCTGCCCCTGACATCTCCTCCCTTCTCTAAGTATACAAGGGCTGTGGCAATTCTAAACTTGCGAAGGCGGGGGTAGGGGCCTGACCTCCATTAATTGAAGGGGACTTTGTAATGCTCCAGTCCCCCTGTCGTTGTCCAGTGAGGCGTGAGGGCCATACCCATCCTGATGTCTTTTTCCTGGAAAGGGGATACTTTTGACATTAATCCCTATGCAGTCAGGCTTGTCCCTCAAGGAACCCAGAGAGATATTTTTAACTTTTATTTATATTCCCTTGCAATGCTTAACCTCAGCCTAAGCAAGAATTCAGATCGCCAGTCAGAGGGGGTTCAGGGTGGCCCCTCTCTGCTAGGTCTAGGGGTGGAAGTCCCCTCTTTTAGGTTGGGGGGAGATGGGTTTTGGGAACACTCTGGATAGAGTAACAACCTCATCTTGAGTCTTGTGATCCTCCATAGCTAACTTATGATAATGTATCTGAATAGGTTTTGCTACCAAATTATTTATCTGTTGTTTCACAAAGTTAGTCAGCCTATTTAAGGCCCAGGGACCAAAAGAAGTAAGCAAAAATAACCCAATTAATGGTCCCAAGATGGGAGAAAGTAGAGTTGACAACCATGGAGAGGCTGAAAACCAATTCTTGTACCAGCACTCATCTTTCTCTTTCTCTCTCTGTCTTTTCTCAGGGCCTTCTCTGACCTTTTTCATGCTCTCCTTAACCATCCCTGTCTTGTCTATGTAAAGACAACATTCTTTTTTAAGGGCTGTACACAGTCAAGAGCTGTACACAGCCTTTTCTATTGTAAAAGAGTCTACTCTATTTAGTTTTGCCTGCTTACCAGGTTAATGTGTAATTAGCTGATATCTTTTCTGTCTTTATTCTTCATTGCGTGAATTAACACCACGCTCATTATTTATTTTGTACTTGATGGGCAGCCTTATTTCTGCATTATTCTACTGTGAATCATGCTCCTGAGAACATTCTAATACCTATAACTTTCTCCACATGCGTAACTGCTACCTACAAGAAGTAGTATTGCCAGGTTGAATGATAATTGTATGTTTATAAGTAATTGCTAAGTTATAACTGAAAGTATTTCTTAACTAATTTGTACTCCAGTGAAGAATGGATGAGAATTGCCATATCCCTCTTGCTGATCCTTGGCTTTCTTTTACTCTGAATTTTTATCCATCTTCTTGGTATAATAATTGCTAAGCCAGTGTAGTTTAATTTATATTTCCCTAGTTACCAATGAGTGACATAGTGTTGCCCTAGCTCATGAGAACTTGTCTCTTCTCAATGCCATGTTCACTGATGGATGTTGTACTTTTGAAATCAACCATGATGAGGTCATTTATATCCCCAAATGCTGTAAAACAAGCAATTTGTCCTTCCCCGCCTGCAATAGTCAGTTAAGCATACATTTATGCATTCAGTCACCATTTTGTTTCTCATTAAAATGTGCTTTTTAAACTTCTAATTTTCCCATTCAGTTATTTGTCTTTTACTTAGAGACATGAAGTGATTCTCCTAATTGCTGATCCTTTATTAACTTACATATTATAGAGCTATTCTCTCAAACCCGTGACCTACCTTATCTGCTCTCTAATGAAATGAGCTCTTTTTTTTTTCCTGGTCTTATTGTCTTAGTTACTTTTTTATCACTGTGATAAGACACAATGGCCAAGGGAATTACAGAGGTAAGAATTTATTTGACATAGTTTCAGAGTTTGGGAGTCCATGGCTGTCATAGCAGGGAGCACGATAACAGGCAAGCAGGAATGGCGGTGGATTTGCCAACACTGCCACATCTCCTCATCCTTTCCCAACGGTTTACCAACTGCAGACTAACCATTCAAATATCTCAGCCTGTGGGAGCCGTTCTTATTCAGACCACCACATTTACCAGTTCCCCCCTATGTCATTTCAGAAATCCTTCAACCTCCAAAGATGTAAAGACATTTATTTATATTTGCTTCCAGACGCCATAAAGTTTTGATACTTCTGGACTTGGTTTTGTAGCACTGTATGAGATAAAGAACCAACTCATTCTTCCATCATTCCAGATGAACATTACCTGATCCTTAACTGAAAACTCTCCTTGCTAGCTCACCTACAAGTCATCTCTGCCGTAAATCAAGGGTCCACGTGGATGGGGCTCTTTGTTCTCTTTCATTGGCTTACAGTACAACAGGTCACAGATAACATTGTTGCTTGCTGTTTTTTATGATAACTGATCATACTATCTACTTATTTTTCTCCAAAAGTGTGTTGGCTACATGGCCCTCTTATTATACTCTTCACAGTGCTTATCAATACCACCAAATATGTGTATTAACTTGAGAAGAATTTTTTGCTCTTTTTTATGAATAGCACTGAGGCACAGAAAGATTTTGTCGGTGGTTAAAGAATCTATTTTATAGGATCACAACCTTACAAAATGTGCTCATGTTTGTTTCATGGGTCAGTGTGCACTTGGTGCTTAACAAATGGTCAAAGAGAGCTTGATAACTTATCTGCCATGTGAGGTGCTGTTCTATCTAGTTAACAAGGGCAAGGCCATCAGCTCCAGTTCCTCTCTGTTGATCGTAATGCCTTTGTGTTCTTAAACCATCAGTCTGTCAGAGAAATATACTACCTCTCTTGTGATTTCCTTTCTTTAATGTTATTTATATGTTTTGAAACAATGCCTTCAGATACATTAAAGCATAGAATTACACATCCATCTTTTAAAAAATGTTAGGATTCTTCCATCTGTAAATCTTTCCATTACAACTATTTTTGTTGATGCTAAAATAATTTATACTGTTGTTTAATATTTACCTACATATTTTTAAATATTCATTTACTTTCAACTTTCAGTTATGTCTTTGGCATGCGTGAAGCTGGATCTTTTCCCCACCCCCATTTATTAGTTACTGAGCTGTGATTTTACTTTCCATTTGTATCCTTTCCCTTACAAAAGCACCTGGCTCTTTTATATCCTTTTACTTTTTAACTGTAGCTATTCATATATTCAAGCTATTTCATTGGAGGTTTGTATTAAACCATATTTCTTCTGTATCTTGCCCAATTATATATACTTCCCTTGGCTGGTTTCAAATTTATATACTGACTCCAATATTTTTATGGTGGCAAATGTGTCTTTAGAGTTAGTGTTTGGACTCAGATTAGATGATCCCAACTTGGTTTGCAGCATCCATAGCATTGCAACCAGGAGCCAGTTGGCCAGCCCCTTCTTCTCTGCATCAGGTTTGATTAATGTGGCAGCCTGTCTGATCTGATGCATGTTGACCTTGACATTCACGATGAACACACATACTGTCTTCTGTCTTCATGGCTGGCTCAGCACTCAAGGTGATTCGATGCTGGGATAGTGGTAGAGCCCGTTTCTCCTGGAGGTATTTTGTGAAGCTATTTGGGCCTCCACAGCTGCAGCTTTGGCAGGAGTTCCCATCACTTTTGGCACTATTTTGGCAAAAATCCTGTTAACAAAGCATCACGTGAGTGCTGTGAATCAGAACTGAGCACTCTGGAAAAGTAGCTGATGCTCTTAACTGCTAAGCCTCCTCTCAAGCCCCTGTGTCCTTAATCTTTAATGATTATGCTATCATGTTTGACATTCTGTATTAGGTTTTATGAAATTAATCAATTACTTCCCCATCTACATATTAAAAGCACCTTTTAACACAAACCTAGTGCTCTTTCCACCTTAATCTCTGTTGCTGGCAGCATGTTAGTTCTATCCTGACTTTACCCCTTTTTTAGGTTGGTTAATGTGTTCCAGATTGGTCTGGACAGGCCCTATGTTTATTCCCTTTGTTCATAATCCCAGACAGCCTTGCTTTCTGAAGCAATTACATCTCAGACTTTCTTGCTTCTGGAAACACTTACTTCAAATTCATTTGGTGAAGATCTATTGATAATAATCTCTCTGTTTTGTTTCTATAAAAACGTTTTGATTCAAGTTTTAAGATTCATCTAGATACATTTAGAGAATTGCTACTGTGTAACTTCGTCACTGTTTTTATTTCCTGCTGTCATGTCAGCTATTAGTCATTTGTAATGTCTTTTCTTCTATATGATTTCAAGATCTCTCTGGCTCTGATAGTCAGTATTTTAACCCCTCTGAGTCATTTGTTGATCTGATCTATTATAATTTATGCTGTTTGAGACTTTGAGATTCATCAAACTTCCTAGTCTTCTGAGGATCATTGTCTTGTCATGTCTGGGAAGCCCTAAACACACACCCTCTCTCTCCTCTCTCTCTCTCTCTCTCTCTCTCTCTCTTTCTCTCTCTCTCTCTCTCTCTCTCTCTCTCTCTCTCTCTCTCTCTCTCTCTCTCTCTCTCGTCTCACTATGTACATGAGCCTAGGCTTGAACTCATCCAGATTGGATCCCCTAGTCCTGGAGTTACAGCCAGTTGTGAGCTGCCTTGTATATTCTGGGTCCTGGACTCGGTCCTCTGTAAGCACAGCAAGTGAGCTTAAGCATGGCCTCTCTCCAGCCCCATTGCTGCTGCCCTTTGATTCTTTCTGCTCTCTCTCTTCTCTTTCATTTCTATTCCAGATTTTACCTTTCTCCTCAGTTCTCAGAACCTTTGCTACTCCTGTTTTCCAGTTTCTCCATTTTCATTTTAGGCCTATGAAATAGAGTATTATGTGTTATATTCTAACTCAATAATGACTATATCATTAAAAATTGACTTTTTATGTCATTGGATCTATTTTGAGTTTCTTGTCCTGTTATAATTGCAATTCTTTTTTAAAAAACATAATTACTTTATGTTTATATACCTGATTAATATGTATACTCTTTTAGATTCAGTTATTCATTATGATTGTCAATTCACAAAACATACTTCTTCATGCTTAGTGATTTATTTTTATTGTAAGTTTGTATTCTTTTGGCACACAACTATGGACATTCTATGAAATCTCAATTTAGAAAATAGTTTCCAGAGCTGTTTTATTTCTGCTTTTCTTAACCTAGGGCCAATTTAAGTAATATTTTCAGGTTATGGATTTTTATGTCATCTAAATGATATAAATTCAGCCCCCAAATCTCCTCCTCTTTCTCTAGCATTACTGGGTAGGGACTTTCAGTTAGCAATTATTCAGGACAGACTTTTCTTACTCAGCAGAGCCAAAATCAGAGTTCCTTTTCTGTGAAAATTATTTCACACATTCACCCATCACAATTCTGCATGCCATGTGCGTCTGATGAAACACATAGTGTAGACCACCAGGACCAGGATGTGGCTCAGAGCCAGCGATGCTTCGGCATTCCCTTCCGCCATGCCTTACTAGGCACTGCTGCCGTTCTTCATTGGACCAACCTTACTTAGACTTTATTATCTATGTATGTGTGCATATGTATAGACATAGTCACCACTTTTAGCTAAGCTACCCATGAAAGGCTTTCTGTTAGCCTGTGTTAAAAACAAGTTTTTAAAAAAGGCAAAAACAAAAACACTAAGCTGACTGTAAGTCACTGTAAAAATCCATAAAAATCATATATAGAGTATGTCATAGAACTTAAGGTAACTGTGTAAATTAACTTTTAAATTTAGTTATATTGCACATCTTCTCAAAATCCGAACCCATTTGTAAGAAGAGATGATAAATGAAACGGTAGTACTGGATACCAATTCAAGAAAACTAATAACAACAAAAGGTTTTGAAAATCGAAGAAATGAGGACAGTGCTGCTTTTGTTCTCTTTATCCAGGAAAGTGTCCAGGACTTAAGAAAGAGAGTCACCGTTCTTGACTGCCAATTGCGAAAATCAGAAATGGCTCGGAAAACATTTAAGGCGTCTACTGAAAGGCTCCTTCGTTTTGTAGAGGTAAGTTTTCTCTCATAGCTGACCTGCTGTCTCCTTGAATTCCACAGCCATGAGTTCAGCCAACCAGGATTGAAAAGATCCTGAACAAAAACTGCGGGAAGTTCCACAAACCACTCCCAGGACTGTGCTGAACCTATGCAGAGGAAGCGATGTGTCCTCATAGCCTGCTAGAGACACCGCTGTCTCTCCCCAGTACTCTCCAGAATGCCATGTACCTCGCTTCTCATGTGTGTACTGTGTGCTCAGGCCTGAGGTGCTTGCTTCTGTTCTAAACCAGTAAAGGAAAATTCCTGTCCTTATTGTGAATACAGTAGGCTATAAAAACTGTTTACATAACCACCATGTCATCTAGAGATGACAGCTTATAAACTGAAGAAATGGGGACAGTGCTGCTTCTGTTGTCTTTATCCAAGAAAAGTGTCCAGGACTTGAGGAAGACAGTCAAAGTTCTTGACTGCCAAGCGACTATCATTTCATTTATTATCTCTCTTTTTATAAATGGGTTCTGAATTTCATGACTCCGTCAGATGGAGATAGATAGATAGATAGATAGATAGATAGATAGATAGATAGACAGACAGATAGATAGTAGGTAGGTATCATGTGAGCATCTGTGGATTTTGATAGATCTTAGGATCCTGAAACTAATCCCCTGTACAAAATGAGGAATAACTGTGTTACATTATTTCTAAGAAATGTTGCCAGTCCTGAAGGTGTGGCTGGAAGATAACAAACTCAAGGCCTCTTTGGACTACAAGTCCAAGGCCATTCTAAGCAACTTAATGAGGATAGCCTGTCTCAAAATAGTTAAAAGGAGGATTGAAACTAAGCTTATATGGTAGAATGCTGTCCTGGCATATATGCGGTCCTAAGTTCAATCCCTAGTACTAACAGAAGAAAAGAAGGGAAGAAGAGGGAATCCGTGCTACTGTCACAGGAAAATGTCATAGTGTTGGGTGACTTCAAGAACACCTCTTGCAAAACATCAATTCTTACTTATAGTCAGATTTAGATTTACTTTGGTAAGTGAATAGAATGGTTAACATTGTTTTATATATATAATTAAATATATTATACATAAAATATATGTTAATTTAACATTAGCATTTATATATACAATATACTGTGTTCTAATGAGTGCTTTCCTAAAAATCCTGATGCCATGTAAACATAATTTGGCAACTATTTACACTGTCATGAAGTCCTAGACAGATGGCTTACTTTGTAGTTACGAGTGCCTGCTTCTCTTGTGAAGCACCTGAATTCAGTTCCCAACATCCATGTCAGGTGACTCACAAATACCTCAACTCCAGTTCCAAGAAACCCAACACCTTCTTCTAGGCTCTGCAGGCTTCTATACACACACGCACATGCGCACACACACATACACACAAATAAATACAAATATTTTAAATAAGTAGATATCTTATAATTATTTCTAAGTATAATTACATGTCAATATAATTGTCTCCACCACCATAAGAGGAACATCTGCAGACTTGATGAAGGGGGAAATTGTAAATATTAATTAATCATGCAAAGTTTGTTTTTTGGCTTTTTGTTTGGTTTTGTTTTGTTTTAAGCTATCAAACTTACAAATTCCTTCACCATCTTCTCTGTCACTAGGCTATTCAAGAAGTACTTTTGGACAGTTCTGCTCCTTTATCAAATTTAAGGTAAGATAGACACAGTAAGTTCTTCATGTAATAATTGTGGCTAAAATATTCAATGTGTTTAGAATGCTGCATGATTCCCATTGGATGCTCTTTTAAAAATAAAAAAAATAAACAAAAAACCTTTGGAAGTAAGTGCAGGAACATTCTGCTTGTTTTGGGTTCTATCTTTCTAAGAAACTGCTAAAAGCATGTAGGTAGCCATTGTAGCCTTGTACTCTGAAATTGAGGAGTCCACATCCAGCCTGTGTGGATAGGCTGTTGGGGGCAGGTGCCCTGTGAAGATAAGTCCCATCCCAGCCAATGCATTGTGTCAAATAGAATTTTACAAAACATAGACACACAATCAGCCCCTGTCATTTTAGCCACGCGGGAGATCTAAATAAAGGAAGGATGTGTGTAGACTACACCTCGATTTTTTATTATCTCAGTGTGCTGCTGACTTTAGGATTCCTCCTTGGAGAAATGTGTACAAACATACAGAAAAGGTTCATTTGTCTCAAGCCATGGCTTTCTGTTTGTTTTTAATGTATGGTGACGGGCATATAGAGAAGAAAGATTCCTACTGATCTATATTAAAAATAGTTATTTCCTTATAACCACATAGTTCCTATTGGGCCCGACTCTACCAGCACCAATTCCAGAGACAGAAACTATACTACTGTGAACCCAGCAGCTGAGTAGAAGAAATCAGCTGCACATAGTGGCTTCTACCTGTAATCCTAGCACTTGGGAGGCTGAGAGAGGAGAATCTCTGTTGAGTTCAAGGTCAACGGGGGGGGGGGGGGGCAACGGGGGGCCTTCTCTTAAAAAAAAAAAAGAAAAGCTATTTTTTCAAATTTGAAATAATATATCCAGTTGCTGCCTTCTACATTCATTTCAATGTTCATTTCTTATTATGAATATATTGGGCATTTTTGTTGTCAACCATAGTGCTTACAGTTTATTTCTGTGGATTCTATGAATGCTGAATTAGTAAGGATTTTAAAGTGCCCAGTAGCCACATTTCCTTGTTATGTTTTATGTGTACCCGCTTACATCGCATTTTCACTTTTACTAATTTAAAATTTTGGCATTAAAAGTCAAGTTTAAAAACAATCAGTTAAAAGCCAATCTTTCATCTAAAACACTTTTTAGGGGGGAAAGGCCACTTTAAATAGCTATAGTAAGCAACTTCTGCTGTGTCTTAAGAGTTAAACACTGTTACTGTCTGGTTCACTCATCTTAATCCATTCAACACAGAGTTAGTGCCATCATGTTTAAGAAGATGGGTTGTAGATGATTTATTTTCAGGAAAGTCATCTGTCTTCAAATAAAAGCTTTAGTGTGATTCTTAGGAAAATGTTGCATCTTAAATTGTATCATAGTGCATTTATTTCATATGGCAGTAGAGTGAAACTCTGGGACACAAAACAAAATGAAACAATGAATACAACAGGGAGAGAGAGAGAGGGAGGGAGAGAGAGAGATTGATTGATTGATTGATTGATTTACAAGGAAAAAGGAAAGATGACCAGGGGGAGCATAACCAAAATGGATTATCTACATGAAATATCATAGTAAGAAGACTTGTGCCAGGCAATGGTGGCGCACACCTTTAATTCCAGCACTTGGGAGGCAGAGGCAGACGAACTTCTGAGTTCCAGGCCAGCCTGGTCTACAGAGTGAGTTACAGGACAGCCAGGGCTACACAGAGAAATCCTGTCGAAAAAACTTAAAAAAAAAAGAAGAAGAAGAAGAAGACGACTTGTATAAAAGCCTTTTGGCTGTTTTGTAGTTAGGAACAACAAATGGGAGAATTTAAAAGATAATTTCTTAAGTAAATATACATGTACCATATTTATATTTAGTATTATTGTAAGCAATAGAAAACATCTGTTTAATAAACTTATGTTTATATGTTTAATTTGAAATTTTACAAAAATAAAAAGACCAGCAAATAATTTAGGATGTAGGTGATCCTTCATTTACTTCCTTCTTACATATAAAGTCAAAGTATTTGTTAAAATATGCCTCTTTCCTGTAAAATAAGTAAACCAGAAATACTCTTCTATGTGATTAAGATCTTATATAGCTCTATGAATATAATGTTCCTAGACATAGAAATGTTTTTGTGCAAACATAATGGACAGAGATTCAGGTTTAGCCAGGATGGGTGTCTTTGCTGTGCAGTGTGCTCAAGGCCATCTCATTGCTCGTGCAGTGAAAGAAGAGCTCTGCTTGCATCTCAGACTTCCCTTCCGCTGCTGGCAAGGAATGGACGCAGCTTCCCAGCAACCCTGCTTCTGGAATCCAAGGAGCTTGTCAGATCTGTTCGTGCCATACTTGATATGGACTGTAAGTTATCATCTTCTTCTCCTCTTCCTCCCCCTCCTCCTGCTCCCCCTCCTTGTAATTTATTAAACAAAGCAGAAGAAAAACCTTAGTTCTGGTAGTTTAATTCCATGAAATATATCTGTCTACAGTAATATCGAGAGCTACTCATTAAAAATACTAACATGCAGATTCTGGAAAAGAATATCTGCTTTATTTAAAGTGCTCAAGATCTCAAGATGACGTCAAACAGAAGAGAGCTAATTAATGCATGTCATTACTTCTGTTTTCTTCCAAAGTATCTTTGACATTTGAAAATAAATAGCAAACAGTAAAAATAAAATAATAATAATAATTGCACTAGAAGTAGGAACAGTAAACCAGTGCTCAGGAAGGTTTAAAACCACGCCACAAGTGTCGTAACATTGAATGAGGTTGAATGGGACCTGGTGGTATAGGGCTCTAACCCCAGCACTTGAAATACTGAGGCAGACCAACTTCAACAAAAGATGCCCAAACAACAGTGACATAGAAAGGACTGATGAGACATAGCCAGCTATGGTGCCTTTTATCTAAAGGCTCTTAGGAGCCTGAGGCGAGAGGAGTTCTGGGCTTTTGAGGCTAGACTGGACTACATAATGATCACTAACACAGACTAGGATAATATTGAGGACCTTTCTCACAAGACCAAACGAAAAACAAGCAAAATACAACAAACTATTGAAATAGTTAAGTAAAACCATGACAGGAGGAAAAAAAAGATTATAAACAGAAACAACCAAGAACAGACTCTACGTGGTGAGGAGGGTGATTCATGAAAGGGCTATGAAGAAAGCAAACCAGTTCCCTACTCTTCAGAGCTGCCAACTTAGGCCAAGACAAGAGTTCTGTGTGGGAGCCGTATGATCAGAATTAGGGACCTTTCAAGTCAACACAAGAGAAGCAGACCGGTTTCTATGTAAGTCCCAACACCTAGCCCAGAATCCTCAGAGAGCACCCAAATGACCAGACATTTCTACAGTTCCCTCGTTCAGTCCCCCAGGCACTTCTGCCTCTTCATGAGAATTTCAACTTTTAATAACTATTTTCAACATACCATTTGTTTCCCTGCAATGAAAATTTATACATGATTTTCCAAACTCCTACATTATTTACAAAAGTCAATAATAACATGTCCAAAGTATGAAATAGAGGAGAAAAAGATGAATGTGGTTCATGAGAAAACAATATCAATAGGTGAAGTCTTTAGCCCAAGAGCACTAGGCATTCTAACCTACACATAGAATCCCTACCAAAGTGAGAGCCGTGAGTATAGACTAATGCATAAGTGTACTGGCATCTCTAACATGGTTGTCTGAAATGGTGAGCAGTTCCTGGCAAAGCTCTAGACACAGGAAAATGCTATCTTTTATAGATTTACTCAGTAGTTCGGAGCCTGGAAAAGTTAAGTCGTATTTAAACTATGCTAACATATTAGACTGTATAAAAACAAAATCATACTCCAGGATCAAATAACTTAAAATTCTATAACATGAATGTCTTGTCAGACATTTGAAAATCATGAGACAGAATAACTCCTTCATGCTCAGGACTATCAAATGTATTTTCATTGTTAGTCCAGAATGAGGGATGACGTCCTTCCTATAAACATCAAAAGTGCACTCCAAACTCTTGCATTTCCACAGATGTCCTTGTCCGCACCACACTCAAACTGAGAACCGAAAACTCACTAGCCCAAAGTCACCAATAACCACTCCTATGTGGACAGAGCTGCAATAAAGAAATTTTAGATGAAGAAAAAAATAGCCATCAAGTAAATGAAGTCAATATATTATTCAGAACATAAATACATGTTACAAATAAAATCAGTTATTATACTTAAAGACATGATATCCATTATACAAGAAACAATTGCTATTAAAGAAACAAAATCTGAGGAAGGTTTTTGAAAGGAATATTAAATGTTTTTTCCTATCATGAATATAATACCTATTCAAAAAAGTTTTATAAAGATTAAATAAACTTTGGATAAAGCACTATTTATACTAGATTTCCTAGCCAAAAAAAAATCATGTTTTTAATTTTTTTTTTTAGTTTTGAGAGTCTATATTATGAAGTGAATATTTAGAAGTAATAATGATCAGTTAGCAAAGATGGTGGCTTAGGCCCAAAGAAGTTAAGTAAAGACTGCAGTCATTCTTTAAACACTACATGTCAGGATGAAAATTTGAAACCTCGATATACAGATTACTTCGCTTCACCGTCGTGTCTGCTCTCTGAAATATACTGCTACACTACTGGTGTTCCCCATTCAGTGTGAAGACATGCTTCACCAGCTGACCTTTATCACACCATCAATTAGTGTAAGGCCAGGATTTATAAACAACTGTGGCTTGTTTCAGAGGTTGTCCAACTTTTACTCTTCAAGCGGGGGAATCCCGGTTAGCTGAGGGTTCCAGATAGCTGACTGTTGCAATGGTTCTCAACCTTCCTAATTCAGTTCTTCATGTTGTGGTGACCCCACCATAAAATTATTTTGTTGCTATTTTATAAGTGTAATTTTGCTGTTATGAATAGTAATGTAAATATCTGATGTACAGGATATGTTACTCCCAAAGGAGTCATGATACACAGATTAAGAACCACTGCTGTAGAGGCATTTATTGCTCTAACACCATATTATATATGGTGTTAAACAATATGATAGCATTTTAAATTGGACTCACTTCACAGCTCTGAACATACAAACATAAAAAGTACAAAGAAAGAATAATAAAATGGAGTTTTATACATAGTACTAATGTTATCAATAAGTATCCTATTAACCGTTACTGCTCCTTAACAAATCACTCCGAAATTTGACAGCTAAAATATTTTAGTATTCTGTCTTATGGTCCTGTTGAGTTGCTAGGTGTAGCTGAGCAGTTCTTACTTTGGGACTCTGATGTGGTTACAGGCAGGTATCTCCTGACATTAGAGGCCTTTGATGAGTCTACTAGGCTGGACATCCAAATGGCAGCTCAGCTTGGGATGTTGACTAAAATACCTGTCTCTTTTGAACCTTCTCCAACATGGAGGCCTTAGGAAGCAAAACATACATGGTGGCTCAAAGCTCCCACACAGATGGGTAAATGAGCAGAAGAGAAAGTGCATCTGCTTCTGTGGCTCACCTCAGAAGTTGCACAGCATTATTTCCACCATATTCTGTCCATCTGTACAGATTCCAGGGACGGGGCTCAGGCCCCATGCTGGATGAAGAGGTACCATGATCATAATTTAAATGATTGTGTAGGCAGAAGTTAGTTTTGTGGTTACATTTGAAGAATCTAATGTTCCACATTAGAATATATCAGATATAAGTAAGTTAGTCATAATGGCTGTGTAACATCCTCTGTGTCAGTTAATATGTGGCATTTAGCAGAACAACGTGTTGTCCTTGTGTCTGTCCCTTCCTTTAGCATCACTGCCTGCTGCTTGTTTTCCTTCAGCATTCCACTGTCCATCCTACAAACCTTCTCTAAGCAGGAATCCAAAGCATAAAGGCGGATGCATGAGTGACTGAATGGAGGGGTGGATGATCAGAGGTCGGCAGCACAGAGAAGTAGATGGATATGAAGGCAGGCGTGCAAATGCTAGGGAGAGAGAGAACCAGAGAGAATTTTCTCCTAATTGTCAAACTATTAAATTGTGGATATAAACCTGGCTGGTAAGTAGTAACATTGCTTGACTTGATGAATGAACTAACATTCACAAGCCCTTTGGTAACTTTTGACTTAACAGATACATTATTGAAGATTGGAAGCTATGCTTCTAAAATATTGTCTGTTCACTTTATATGATGGGTATATGTTTAAATTTTTATGTAACCTAATACATTTTTTGAAATAAAGTTATATATCAAAAAACATACAATGATTGACTATATAGAGGATTTCTCTGTATGTCTTAGGAAGGGCTGAACTTCGTCACTTCTAAGAAATATGTGTAAACAAGTATTCTATGTATAAACATTTTTATGCTTGTGTGGAAACAGTAGAGGGAAACACCTGCATACACATAACCCAGTGGATATTGTTGTCACTAATTTTAATTACCTCACTCACAATAGCCATTAGCTCTGTCAAACATGATTATTCAAAGAAAGGACTTGAAGTTCAGCAGAATTTCTTTGGAAGAGAACAGAAAACCGACACGTGCACTTTCTATGCTCTCCAAGATTATATGTGCTTTGCTCTTTAAAACCAGCAGTTTCTATGCCGTCTTCTTTAAAGCATGGCTGTTAATGTTGACATGTTTTGTCAGTGCTTTTCGGCTTTCTAGGGCATAGGTCTTTAACTTTAATGATTCAGAGAAACCTAGCTCTTTTGCTTTTTTCTGTAAGCAGTGGTTTTTTAGATGTATATAACAGGAAACAGACAATGACTAGAGTGAGGTAGCTCAGTCAGCCAAAACCCCCAACCTCATTTCTTTTACCTTAGCTTTCTGAGTGTTTCAAGTCATAATTTCAAATATTTACTTGGGCAATGGTTTCCACTTTCATTTAATATAAGTACATTCTAGGATGTTACACTAAAATTCTTCCTCGGAAACCTGTAGGATAAGTTTTCTTGGATCTTACATCTTTTTTGTTTTATTACGTTGTTGTTGTTGTTTAATCTTTTTTTTACAGTCGTTATCCCCCTCCCAGTCCACCCTATGACAGACAGTTCCGTATCCCATTGCTCTTCCCCCCCATTTCCAAGAGGATGTCCCCAGCCCCCACCCCATGATACCTCTTCCCTCCCTTGGACCTTAAGTCTCTTGAGGGATAGGTGCTTCTTCTCTCACTGAGGCTAGGCCAGGCAGTTCTCTGCTGTATATGTGTCAGGGCCCTCATATCAGCTAGTATATGCTGCCTGGTTGGTGGTTCAGTGTCTGAGAGCTCTCAGGGGTCCAGTTTAATTGAGACTGCTGGTCTTCCTGTGGGGTCACCATCCTCCTCAGCTTCTTCCAGCCTTTCCCTAATTCAACCACAGGGGTCCCCA